TCTAAAGCAGCAGCAGCAGCAGCGCCACCAGCAGCAACAACAGAAACCGGACTAAGTAGGAGCAGCAGCAGCAACAGGACTAAGCAGCAGCAGCACAAGTAGCAGCAACGGGACTAAGCAGGAGCAGTAGCAGCAGCAACTGCAGCAACGGGACCAAGCAGGAGCACCACAAGTAGCTGCAACAGGACTAAGCAGCAGCTGCAGCAACAGCAGCAGCACGGATTAAGCAGGAGCAGCACCAGTTGCAGCACCAGTTGCAGCACCAGTACTAAGCAGGAGCAGCAGCAGCAGCAACAGGACTGAGCAGGAGCAGCAGAAGCAGCAGAACTAAGCAGCAGAAGCAGCAGCAGCAGCAGCAACAGGACTAAGCAGCAGCAGCAGAAGCAGCAGGACTAAGCAGTAGCAGCAGCAGCACCACCACAACCACCACCACTGCCACCACCACCAGCAACAGGACCAAGCAGGAGCAGCAGAAGCAGCAGGACTAAGGAGCAGCTGCTGCAGCAGCAACAGGACTAAGCAGCAGCAGCAGCAGCAGGACCTGCTGAGCCACTCTGCAAATGGCCTGGAAGTAAATGTCGCGACACAGCAAATCCATTTGCTGCAGAATGTTGGGGCAAATCTCCATGGCCGTCAAACAGCTGTCAACATTATCCTGATCAAAATAATAAATAATGAATAAATAAATAAATAAATAAATAAATAGATAAAAATATAAATAGTAGTAGTAAATAAATAAATAGGTGGTTTGGGTTATGATTGGGGTTGCCTGTTGTGTCAGGCGTTGGCAGCAAAGCTTTGGAAGCAGCAGCAAAACAGCAATGGCAGCAGCAGCAGCAGCAGCAAGAACTACAGCAGCAGCGCCAGCAAATGCACCAGCATGGAGCCACTAGCAGCAGCAGCAGCAGCGCCAATAGCATATCCTGGGAGCAACAATGATGAAGGCAGCTGCAGCAACGTTAGCAGCAGCAGCAGCAACACGTCAGCAGCAACAACAGCAACAGTAATAGCACCAATACCAGGACCGCAGCAGCAGCGGAAACAGCAGGAGCAGCAAAAATGGCGGCAGCAGCAGCAGCAGCAAATGCAGCAGCAACATTAACACCGGAGCATCCCCAACACAACCAGCAACAGGAACACGGCAGCACCCCCAGCAGCAGAAACAGCGGTAGCACCAGCAAATAGGCTGCAGCAATCAGAGAAAAGAAGAGCAGCAGCAGCAGCAGCAGCAACTGCAACAGCAGCAACATAATCCTCATAGAAGCGGAACCGAGACGGCAGCAGTGCCAGCAAAAGCAGCAGCAGCAGCAACAACAGCAGTAAGAACAACGGCTCCAACACCAAGGTAGCAGCAGCAGCAGGAGCAGCAAAGGCAAAGGCAGCGGCAGGAGCAGCAGCAACAGCAGCAGCAGAACAAATAGAAGCAAGACCTATATCAAACCAGCAGCAGCAATAACAGCAGCAAGAACAGCACAAGCAGCAACCGCAACAGCTCTATATAGTAGCAGCAGAAGCAGCATTGGCAACAACAGAACCAGCAGCAGCACCAAACCAGCAGAGCAGCAAATGAAAAAGGAAGAGGAGCAGCAGCAGCAGCAGAACTGGCTGCAGCGCAAAGACCAAAGCTGAAGCGTCGGCGACCGAGGTGCAGCAGCAGCAGCAACAGCAACGAAGGAGCAGCAGCACCACCAAGCCAGCAGCACAGCAACAAGTGCAGCAGGAACAGTAGCAGCGATAGCAGCAGGCAGCAGCAGCAGGCATGCAGCAGCAGCAGCAGGAATCGCAGCAAAAGTGGCAGCCTGCAAGCAGCAGCAGCAGGAATCGCAGCAAAAGTGGTAGCCTGCAAGCAGCAGCAGCAGCAAAAAGAGCAGCAAAACTGCAACAATGCCAGCTGCAGCACAGAGCAGCAGCAGCAGCATTACCTTATTGAGTTCGACCTGCGTATTTACTCTGATAAGCAGCAAAGCCTTGCGCTTGCCTTGCTGCTGCAGCTGCTGCAGCAGCTGCTGCTCCTGCTGCACCAGTGCAGCAGTAGCAGATTCGTTTGTGGCCCCCATTAGAAACATGAGAGGCCCCGCATCATTTTCAGCGAAGAAGATCCGCGCAGAACGCCTAAGAGAATAAACAAAAAAGAATATAAATATAAATAAATAAATATAAATAAATAAATGAATAAATAATAACCGAATAAATAAATAATAACCAGGTAAATCAATGGATAAATAAACAATAAATAATGAACAAAAAATAAAAAAAAAAATAAATAAATTTATATTTTTTGAAGCGTAAAAGTGCCCAAAAATGCAGCTGCTGCTTATTTGCTGCTGAGCAGCAGAAAATTTGTTTTTAGAAATAAATAAATTAAATGCATGCAGCTGCTGCTTATTTGCTGCTAAGCAGCAGCACATTTGAGTTTTATAAAAAGTGAATTAAATGCATGCGTTTGCACTTTCGTGCATGCGCACTCAGGTGTACGTACACCGCGCTGCAATGCTTATGTTCTGGAAAGATTCAAAATTCTTTTTTTTGACTTTTATTTTTATTTTATTAAATAATTTTGCACTTTAATATATTTGCACTTCGAGCTGCCGAGCCATTCATGAGTGTTCTCGCAATTTGTGAAATAAAAAAAATTGAATTCGAAGACACAGCTGTATTCAGGTGTACGTACACCTCAGCAGTTCATGCTACTCATAATTTGCAACTGGGCGCTTCTTAAATGTTCAGTTTTATAAATCCTTATTTCTAATTTTAAATATAAATATGCAAATAATTGAACTATCAAATTTGCAGTTAATTGAAACTTGAAATGGAAGAATCATTTTGCATGCAAAGGGGCACCGTTGGAGTGTACGTACACCGCAGCTGCCCGCGCGTGGACACTTCAGCAATTCTGTTTTGTGACTTTAATGAATTCATTTTATCTTTTTATATAAACAAATGTGTAATTTCAAACATTTCGTTATAAAATTCTTCTCATGTTTCAATTGCTGCATGCGTTCCAGTGTATCGACACAAAAGCCCCAAACTTAAACAAGTGCTGCGCATGCAGCCGGGCATTATTTTTGCCAGTTAAAACCCTAGATCTTTAATGCCTATATATATTTTAGCTAATTAATTAATTAATGAATTAATTAAGTAATTAATTAACTTATTTATTTTTCAATTTTTGCATGCATCGCATGCACAAGAAACTTTAAATGCAACATGTATTGGTGAGAAAAGGCGGAACGTTTATTCTTTTTTTTTGTTTATTTGTTTTGCTTTCTTTCTTTTATTTATTTTTTATTTGTTGCATTTGTGCTGTTCGTTCTGTAGTCACTTTGCTGCTGATCTTTTTTGTTGTTTTTTCTTTTCTCTTTTTTGCCTTCTCGCTTATTTGTCTTTGCCCTCTGAGCTATTCTCTTGCTGCTGGTTGCTGCTGCTTTGCTGCTGCTGCTTTGCTGCTGCTGCTTGGACTGCTGCTGCTGCTAACGCTGCTATCCAGCTTCTCTCACTTCCCCTACAGCTATAGCTGCTGCTGCTGCTGCTGCTACTGCTGCTGCTTCTACTGCTGCTGTTACTGTGTCACTATCGCTGGCGCCGCGCAGCTGCAGCAGCTGCAGCTGCAGCAGCACATCCAAGTGCTGCCGCAGCGGTCTTTTTGACGCTAATACAGCTGCTGCTGCTGCTGTTGCTGTTGCTGCTGCTTACATGCTAGCCTCATCTGCTTCGAAGGTAGTCTTGAATTTCAACCAAGCTTGCTTTTTAGCAGCAAAAGCAGAAAAGACTCTTTGCAGGGCCCATTCGATGAGGGCGCTGCCTGAGGCTTGCTTCGATTCAGCCATTTTCAGAAGCAGGAGCAGCAGCAGCAGCAGCAGCAAGAGCAGCTGGAGCAGGAGCAGCAGCAGCTGCAGCAGGAGCAGCAGGGGCGGGTGCACACACTCCAAGAAGGCAGGAGACGCCAGGGGCGTCCTCTAGAGAGGCGCAGTCCCCGGGTGAAGTTTGCTGCTGCTGCTCCTGCTGCTGCTGTCAACGCTGCTGCTGCTGCTGCTGGCGCTGCTGCTGCTGCTGCTGCTGGGGGTGTGCGCAGTGCGCCAGGTGGCAGAAGAGCTGCTAAAGCGGCCTGCTTCGTTTGCTGCAGCTCAAATGTATTTATATTTTAAAAATTAAACTTAAATTAAATAAAAGAAACGAAAGAAGCGAGGGGGGGGCCCAGTGACCTTGCTGCCGACACCGCGTGCATGCATGCAGCGGCTCACCGTGCGTACAGACACCTCGCATGCATTTCTCTTTTCTTTTAATGCATTTTCTTTTTTATTTCATTTTTAATTTCTAATTAGATGCACGGAAGAATAAGCACAAGTACAGGGGCTTAGGGGGCCCCCGGGGGCCCCCTGGGTGCCAGGGGGCCCCCTGGACCCCCCAGCTGCTGCAGCAGGGGGGATCGGGTGGTTGCAACACGTGGGGCTGCAGCAGCAGCAGCAGCAGCAGCAGCGTCTCTGTTGGCCCTGCTGCTCCTTTAATGCTGCTTTAATGCATGCAAATTGATTTTTAAAACTCTAAATTCCAAAATTAAAAACAAATGACCCCCCGCGAGCCCCGGAGCTGCCTATACACCTGAAACTGGGGGGCGGCACAGCCGTCGGCGGCGATGCAGCGGCTGTTCCTCAGCAGCCCACTGCAGCAGCAGCAGAACAGCAGCAGCAGCAGCGGCTGCAGCAGCAGCAGCAGCAATACCAGAAGCCACGGCCAGCGCTGCTGAAAGGCACGCCGCAGCAGCGCCAACGGCGACGGTCGAAACACGCAGCAAAACAGCAGCAGCAGCAGCAGCAGCAGCCTGCACACTAGCTGCAGCAGCGGTTGCAGCAGCAACAGCAGCAACAACGTGGTAGCTGCAGCGCCGGCAGCAGCAGGGAAGGCGCAGTTCAATCCGCTGAGAATGCAGCAAGTCAGCTGAAGCCTGCACTCAGTGCAGCAGCAGCAGCAGCAGCAGCGCGAACGACTGCAGCAGGGCGGGGATGCAAGGAGCAGCAGCAGCAACAATGGAGCCGCAGCAAGAGCTGCAGCAGGGGTCGCCGCAGCAGCAGCCTGCTGCGCGGCTGCTGCTCAGCAGCAGCAAGACTGTTTGTGGAAAGACCTTTGCTATGGCACGCCCGCGCCAGCAGCAGCAACAGCAGCAACTGCAGCAGCAGCATCTGCAACAGCAGCAGCTGCAGCAGCAGCTGCAGCAGCAGCATCTGCAACAGCAGCAGCTGCAGCAGCAGCTGCAGCAGCAGGGACAGCACTGCGAGCAAGGAAATGATGAAGAGAACCTCCTGCTGCTGCTGCAGCAGAGACGCATGCAGCTGCGGCAGCAGCAGCAGCAAATCCTACAGAGGCTGGCAGGATGTGGGGAACTACCTCAGCAGCAGCAGCAGCTGCAGCAGCAGCAGCTGCAGCAGCAGCAGCTGCTACAGCAGCAGCAGCAGGGGGACAGCAAGTCAGGAGGGTTAGGCCTTTCCCCTACCAGGCGCGGAGAGGAATATGCACACATGCAGCAGCAAGTCCAAGGAGGCGTCCTGCAGCAGCAGCAACAGCAGCAACAGCAGCAGCTTCAGGTGCAGCACTTGCTGCAGCAGCAGCAGCAGCATGGGGGAACCCTCATGACAGATTTGCTGCTGGAGGGGCACACGCAAAGCATCATCGTCAGCAGCAGCAGCAGCAGTGCAGAAGATGCCTGGGGTGCAGCAAAAGAAAAGCAGCAGGAGCAGCTGCAGCAGCAGCAGCCACAAGAGCGGCAGCAGCAGTGGGGGCAGCAAGACCAATTGCTGCTGCTGCAACGACTGCGCATGCAGAGGCTTCAGCTGAAGCAGCAGCAAAAGGCGCTGCAGCAGCAATTGAGTGAGCAGCAACAGCAGGGCGCTGAAGACACACAGCAGCAGCAGCAGCAGCAGCAGGCGCTGAAGCAGCACCAGCAGGTGCTGCAGCAGCCGGAAATGCAGCAGCAGCAGCGGATGCAGGAACAGCTTTGGCAGAGTGAGGATGACTATAGCCCCAGCTTTGCCTTGCAGCGGCAGCAAAAGCAGCAACAGCAACTGCAGCAGCGGCAGCAGCAAATGCAGCACCAGCAGCGACAGCAAGGTAGCAAGGCCTCAACTAAGGCCACAGAACTGCAGCAGACACCGATACCTCCACAAACGCACCAGCAGCAGCAGCAGCAGCAGCAGCAGTTCCCTCAAGTCGACTCCTTTTTGCCTCCCCGGAGGCAGCAGCAGCCGCAGCAGCAGCAGTCTCCACAGCTGCAGCAGCAAGCGCAGCAGCAAGCGCAGCAGCAAGCGCAGCAGCATGCGCAGCAGCAAGCGCAGCAGCATGCGCAGCAGCAAGTGCAGCAGCAAGCGCAGCAGCAAGCGCAGCAGCATACGCAGCAGCAAGCGCAGCAGCAAGCGCAGCAGCAAGCGCAGCAACAGGCTCAGCAGCAAATGCAGCAGCAAACGCAGCAGCAACAGCAGCAGCACGCAAGGGCTGCTGCTGCTGCAACAGGGAACCTCAACCACTGCAGCAACAAAGGTGTCCTGAGGCGGCAGCAGCGACAGGCGCCTGTGTCTGTACACCAGGAACTGCAGCAGCAGCAGCTGCAGCAGCAGCAGCAGCAGCAGCAAAGAAGGCAAAGAGAGGAAAACCTAAGGAAACTCTCTGAGGAAAGACGCATGCGCCTTGCGCGCCATCTGCAGCAGCAACAGCGGCGGCAGCAGCAGCAGCTGCTGCAGCACTGGCAGCAACAGGGCCAGCAGAAGCAGCTCCAGCTGCAGCAGCAGCTGCAGGAGCAACAGCAGCAACTGCAGCAGCGGCAGCTGCTGCTGCAGCAATCCAGCAGGTCGCTTCAGACACAATCGCGCAAAGAAAGTGCAGCAAGGCCAAGGGCCTCTAACCTGCAACAGCAGCAACAGCAGCAACAGCAGCAGCAAGAGCACGTGCAGCAGCAGCAGGAGCACAAGCAGCAGCAGCCCAGGCAACAGCAGCTGCCACACGTGCAACTGCAGCGGCACAAGCAGCAGCAGCAGCACCTATCAGCTCCGCCCCAGCCACACAGGCAGCAGTGCACCCTGCAGCAGCAGCAGCAGCAGCAGCAGCAACGCGTGCAGCTGGAGCATCGACAGCAGCAGCAGAAACAACAGCAAAAAGGACAGCAGCAGCAAGTGCAGCAGCAGCAGCAGCAGCAGAGCCAGCTTTCCCATAAAGAAGCAGCACATCTGGACTTACAACACAACCGGCGCACACAGGTTAGCCGCAGTAGCAGCCGCAGCAGCCGCAGCAGCAGCAGCAGCAGCAGCAGCATTTGCTACCGTGAGTACACCGCTTCTGCTCTCCCCCCATTTGCTGCCCTGCAGCAGCTGCAGCACGAGGCCGCTGCGGCCATCCAGCGGGCCTGGAGAGGTGGGTTGCGAACAGCGGATTTAGGGTTTAGGGTTTAGGGCTTAGGGTTTAGGGTTTAGGGTTTAGGATTCCCATGAAGTGAGAGCCATGCAAATTTTTTCAAATGACATGATCTGGGATCTAGGGTTTAGGGTTAAGGGTTTAGGGTTTAGGGTTTGGGGTTGAGAGCTGCGCCTTTTGCAGAGCTGTGTGCCTTCGCCTCAGGGTTCATTTGCCGTAAGATAGTAGCAACAGCAGCAGCAGCAGCAGCAACAGCAGCAGAAGCAACGCAAGAAGCAGCAGCAGAAGAGGCAGCAGAAGAAGAAGAGCAGGAAATGCAGCTGTCAAGCCCGCAGCACCGCGAACTTCCTGCAGCAGCAGCAGCAACAACAGTAGCAGCAGCAGCAGCAACAACAACAACAGTAGCAGCAGCAGCAGCGAAATCACCTGCAAGAGCGCCAGCAGCAGCACCAATACGAGGCCCAGCTGCGATCGCAGCAGCAACAGAAATAACAGAGGCCTCTAGCAAAAGTGCTGCAGCAAGTGCTGCAGCAGCAGTGGCTGCAGCAGATTCGCCTGCAAAGGCACTGCCACCAGAACACGAGGACTTCTTACCGCAGCAGCAGCAGCAGCATGGACAGCCCCAGCAGCAGCCGGGACAGTTGCGGCAGCAGGGACAGCAGCAGCAGGCGCAGCAGCAACAGCAGGCGCAGCAGGAGCAACAGGGGCAGCAGCTGCGGCAGCAACAGCAGCAGCAGCAGCAGCGGCAGCAGGAGCAGCAGCAGGAGCAGAAGCAGGGGCAAGAAAAAGACAATACGGTAGAAGCAAACTCACTTGATGCTCTCATGCGTAAAACCGCATGGAAGCTGCAGCAACACGCTCTGCAGCAGCAGCAGCAGCAGCAGCAGCAGTTGGAGCAGGAACGGGAGCAGCTGCAGTGGCAGCACAATTTACAAGCGACAAGAAGTACTGCCATGACTGCAGCAGCAGCAGCTGCTGCTGCTGCAAAGGCAGCAGCAGATCCGCTGTGCAGCGCTGCAGCAGAGTCAGCCAACGGCAGCTGCAGCAGCAGAAGCAGCGTCAGCAGCAAAAGTCCTGCAGCATGTGCTGCAGCACTTGAGCTGCAAGCAGCACATGAATATGTGACTAAGCAGCAGAAGCTCGACTTGCTGCTGCGGGAACTGCTGGCCCTCGTGCAGGAGAAGCTGCCGCTGCCGCCGGAGCAGCAGGAGCAGCAGCAGCAACAGCGGCAGCAGCAAGAGCAGCAGCAGCAGCAGGAGTCTCAGGTGCAGCAGCTGGAGGAAGAAACGTCGCACGCCCAGCGCCAAAAGCCGCAGCAGCTGCCGCAGCCGCAGCAGCCGCAGCAGCAACAGCAGCAGCGGCCGCAGCAGCTGCCGCAGCCGCAGCAGCCGCAGCAGCAGCAGCAGCAGCGGCCGCAGCAGCAGCGGCCGCAGCAGCAGAGACCGCAGCAGCAGCAGCCGCAGCAGCTGCAAAAGCGGCAGCCTCACCAGCAGCTGCTGGTGTCGCAGCAGCAGCAGCAGCAATGGCAGCAGCAGGAGCTGCCGCAACAGCAGCAGGAAACTCGTGCGCAGGAGCCGGAACAGGAAGCATCACGCGTCGAGTGCCAGCAGCAGCAGCAGCAGCAGCAGCAGACACGGCAAAACCTGACTCACCAAGGAATCGCAGCACAGCAGCAGGTGCAGCTGCAGTCTTCGAGCTCACCTGGGCAGCAGCAGCAGCAGCAGCAGCAACGGCAGCAGCAGCTCTTGCCGCCGCAGCAGCAGCAGCAGCTGCAGCAGCTGGATTCTAGCTATACCCCTAGAGCGCCGCTGTATTCCCTGCTGCCGCTGCAGCACCGCAGGAAAGAGGGGGTGGGAAGCAGAGCAGCAGCAGCAGCAGCAGCAGCGGGTGCAGAAAGAGTTCCCATCACCCCGCGTGATGCAGTAGAGCAGCAGCAACATGATGCAGCAGCAGCAGCAGCAAGAGCTTGTCTTCCGTCTAGCACCTGCACGGCAGCATCACCTCGGATGCAGCAGCAGCAGCAACACGAGGGAGCAGCAGCAGCAGCTGATGCTGCAGCAAGGGGCTACCCAGCTTCGCCACGGTACGCTTTAGAGTCTCCTCGCTTGCTGACGCAGCAACAACAGCAGCAGCAGCAAGACATCGCAGCAGCAGCAGCAGCGCGAGCCTACCTGGCCTCTCCGAGGTGTCCTCTCGAGTCTCCTCGTTTGCTGCAGCAGCAGCCGCAGCAGCCGCAGCAGAAGCTGCAAACTCTGAGTGCTGCCGCTAGCCCAAGAAGCCCTCGGCCTGCCCGCTTCCCGGCCGAAGCAGCAGCAGCAGCTGCTGCTGCTGCTGCTACTGCTGCTGCGCAGCAGCACAAGCTGCTGCACCGCGCAGCACCTGCAGACGTCGAGGGCCTTGTCCACGCAGTGGTGAGAGCGGTGCTGCAGCAGCTGCATCCTGCTATTGCTGCTGCTGCAGACAAGTCAGCAGCAGCAGCAGCAGCA